GATTCTGAATGCACCTTAAAACAAGAGTAATATGATCTACGAAGATAACAGAAAAACAGCTGCAATAAGTTGACAGTTTGACAGTTAATTTCAATAATTTCACTGATGTCAGTCGATGTCAGTAAATATATCCAAGGTTAATCTGTGTAAAGTATTAAAATTATGAAACTAATTTTAAAAACTTTACGATTTTCAATTATAGAAAAATGAGGAGAGTAGCTGTTGTGCAAACCATTTTAGTTACTTTTCTTTGTAGCCCGTAAGTAATACAAATAATTTGTGGATAATTTTTGTTAATTTATTAAACATTTGTTTTTAGTGATTTTGTATTAACCAATAGTACAGGGGTTGATCAGAATATTGTAACTTCTAGTAAAACTGACACAAATATTTCTGGTAAAATAGAAGTTTTAAAAGACTTTAATAATGGTAATAATAATAATAATATTCTGGAACCAAGTATTGATATAAATGATGATATGGTTAAATATGACTTAGAAACACATAAACAACCAGTTGCAGGCAGCCCTATAGGAAATTCTGAAGATTCAAATAGGTGAGTGTTCATAATTAATTGATTGTTATAATTACAACAAGTATATATTATTTCAATAATTTCCTTTCACTAACAACTACAAAAATTAATCGGGTACGTTGATCACATAGATCTAATATAGTATAAGTATACTATGGATGGGATGTAGAGAGAGAGGACATGGGACAACATATAAAGTGGGATGAAACTAGTCTCGGGTCATGTGACTTAGGGCACTTTCAGACATCACGGGTGATTTGTTATATCCACTACGTGGTATTAAGTGTTATTACGAATTTGAAAGTATTTTTTTTTATTGTGTCACTATAGAAAAATAATAATTTCCTAATCAGAAATAGAGTTGCTTTTTAAATCAATGTAGCACGATTTTATCGTAGGCACATATCTAACCCATATGCGACACTGAGAGAGAAAGGGCTACTTTATGCAACACGAATGGAGATACATCCAAGTTAAAGGGACTGAACGCATGCGTATTTCCAAACAGAACAGCTGTGTGACAACATAAGATGATATTTTCAGATTTACTATTATTTCGGCAATAAACAGAATAAATATGAAATACAAAACTTTAAGGATATATAAATTTTGTGGAGTAAAATAGAATGTTTGATTATTTTGCCCATAAAATGATGCTACTCGTATGAACGGTTTTTATCTGCGAATTAAATACATNAGTGAGAGTGTATAGTTCAGCTCTGGTATCTTGTCAAAATTTCTTTTCTTTTTTGATGGTAATAAAGATTTAAATACAACAAAACTTATATCATTGGATACATTGTTTAACGGCCTGTTCAAGCATAGTGTAGTTACTTGGAGATTAACTGGTTCTAGTGAGAAAATTGCATTTAAATCATACACTGCTGTTCTTTTTTTGTCTGTTTATAAGTGGAAAAAGTTAAGAGATAGCGATAACAGAACAACAACTTTTTTGTGAAGTTTATCCAGGTCCGGCTTTGTGAATTTTTATTCTGGTTATTAAAAATGAAGATATGCTCAAAATGTAATGATGACAAAGCAGAAAATATGTTTCCATGTGATAGTTGCAAAAGAATAATATGCAATGTGTGCTCTGATCTGACGGCATCTGAAATAAAATGTATGTTATTAAAAAAACGAAAATTATTGTTTCTTTGTGAAGACTGTGAAAAGGGTTTATCTCAAGTTCCTGTCCTTATACAGAAAATTAGTGATTTTCAAACTCAACTAAATACTCTAAAATTAAATAATACAGCGATGGAAACTGATATTAACTGTCAGGAAGATATTATTGTAGAAATGTTGGACAGACAAAATCGTAGGTCTAATATAATTATATATAATGTTAAGGAATCACAACAAAGAACTCGTATGGAAAGAAATAATGAAAATACTAAAGTGGTAAACGATATTCTTAGGGATGTTGATGTGAACAAGAATAATATAAAAGTATTTCGTTTGGGAAAGTACGACTCACATAAAAATCGTCCACTTAAAGTTATTTTTAGCTCTGCTGATGATGCAATAGGTGTTCCAAAGGCTAAGAAGAATATTAAAGTTCCTGGGATTAAAATATATATGGTGATCAGACGAAGGCGCAGAGAGAGTATTACATGCATATCAAGAAAAAACTAGAAGAAATGATTTCTAATGGCGATAATTCTAAAACAATAAAATACTTAAATAATAAACCAACAATTGTCACTAAAAAGGATGCAACCCATTCAAAAAACTGAATAATAATTGTAACATTCATTATAATTCTGACATTATGTACGTTAACATCCAAAGTCTAGTAAATAACCGTGATCAAGTAATTAGCAGCATTGCATCCAGTAATCCGAAGATAATATTACTTAGTGAAAGTCGAACAACAAGTGATGTATTAAATGTTGAACTAAATATTGCAAATTATAAAGTTATACGATGTGATTCTTCGAGCAGGCATACCGGTGGAGTTGTGATCTATGTGAAAAACAATTTACAAACTACAGTTTTCAAGACAATTGTGCTTGATGGTAACTATTGGTGTAAAATTATAAGAGTTGTATTCCCCTTTTCAAAGTGGTTGATTGGATGTTTGTATCATTCTCCTTCTGCTTCGCATGCTACATTCATTGAGGATTTGGAAAATGTATTTGACAGTATGTTTTACAGTGGGACTAATAGTTTACTGATTGGTGATTTTAATTTAGACTTATTAGATAATAGTTTTTATAGCAGTAAGATTGGTAACCTTTTTAGTACATATGGTATATCCCAATTAGTCACTGAATCTACACATGTTACTAATATTAGTTCTTCTTTGATTGATTATGTACTCACTAAACAAAGTCACGTAAAGCAACAGTTCATTATTACCCTAAAATTACTGACCATTTTATAATATTTGTAGATATCAACCACACTGTGAATGAAAAACTTAATGAAACTGTATATAAATCTTTCAGAAATTTTGATGAAGTTCATTTAACTAATATTCAAACCCAATTAGAATTGTGTAGGTAGGTGGTCTTTAAACTGTGTCGACATAAATCATTTGTATGATGAGATTACAATATTATAAATGTAAGAATAATATACCATGGTTTGATAATAAACTTATAAATGAAACAAAGAAGCGTGATTCTGCATATAAAGATTTTAAAAAATCTGATGAGGCAAATAAAAACTTTCTCTGGAATAATTATAAGAGGTTAAGAAATAATGTGGTTAATTTGTTAAAAGTAAAGAAAAAGAGGTACTATTTTTAAAAAATTGACAGATATATCAGTAATCCTAAACTTATGTGGAAGACTATTAAAGAATTAGTCAATAGTAATGAAAAGGTTAAAATCGATTATGTACAATTTGAGTTTGGAGACCATACTATTACATGTAATAATGAAGTTAGTTTAGCTAAAAACTTTAATGTATATTTTATAAATAGTANAATTATTATTAGGTAGTAGCACTTTCTACTGTATATAAAGCCATCGCAATTAAATTCAGTGAAATCAATTACACTTAATAGTAACTATAAGAGCTAGGGTTTCCAGATCTCTGGGTTTGACCCGGAGTCTTCGGGTTTGACCCGGAGTCTTCGGGTTTTGATGGTACATCTTCGGGCTCCAGGTTAACATGTCATTTTTTCGGGTTTTCTTTGTTGCGGAAAAATCGTTTTTTTTTAGACATTGATTATACAAACGGGTCATGTCTCCGGGTCTGTCATGAAATAGATCTGGTAACCCTAATAGGAGCAGATATAAATTGTTCTAGTTCCAAAACTTTTTATGTTTTTTTTTTGTTACGAATGCTGTGACTCCGACTGTTATTGTAGCATGCTATGGAAAAAGGTCTAATTTATAATGAGGAAAACTTCGTTAAACTAATTTTTATTGTTATCAGTATTAATTTTATCTTGAAATTTAAATCAATTTCTACCCTAAATACAACAAGCAACAAAAATAAGAAAACATACGAACAATTTTTTTATTATCACCAATAGCCATATAATAAATTGCAAAAAAAAGATGTTATAAAATAATTTTCCGTTTCTGTTGTCCAAAACAGTACAAATCCAATATCAGTTTGCAATAGGCCTCATCGCAATATGCCACAGAAACTCTTAAATGTTGAATAAAATAATCTTTAACAATATAGATTTATGTATTAAAAATTCAGTGGAATTAAATAGATATAAAATGTATCTCATCCTTTAACTTAATTTTTAATGGGTTTTAGTTATGATGAAGAAGCACTTATTTAGTCTTTTGAATTTGAATTAGAAGTACGTTTTAATTGGCTTTCTGTTTAAGCGGAGATGCCAATCAAAATACTAAGCCAGCCACCTTTTGTAGCATCCTCCCGTATATGCAATGCACGGCATCCCCTAATTCTCTTGCTGCATGATGCATGTTTCAAAAATTACATTTTTTGAAAACAGTCATTAACAGTTGACTTATGCATGATATTTATTAAGTATCAAAACAAGTTTTTTGTCTACAGAACGTAAAAGTGTTTTACATCTAGGACGTAATAGTTATTTGTTTTAACTAGAAATTCAACAAAACTTATATCATTGGATACATTGTTTAACGGTCTGTTCAAGCATAGTGTAGTTACTTGGAGATTAACTGGTTCTAGTGAGAAAATTGCATTTAAATCATACACTGCTGTTCTTTTTTTGTCTGTTTATAAGTGGAAAAAGTTAAGAGATAGCGATAACAGAACAACAACTTTTTTGTGAAGTTTATCCAGGTCCGGCTTTGTGAATTTTTATTCTGGTTATTAAAAATGAAGATATGCTCAAAATGTAATGATGACAAAGCAGAAAATATGTTTCCATGTGATAGTTGCAAAAGAATAATATGCAATGTGTGCTCTGATCTGACGGCATCTGAAATAAAATGTATGTTATTAAAAAAACGAAAATTATTGTTTCTTTGTGAAGACTGTGAAAAGGGTTTATCTCAAGTTCCTGTCCTTATACAGAAAATTAGTGATTTTCAAACTCAACTAAATACTCTAAAATTAAATAATACAGCGATGGAAACTGATATTAACTGTCAGGAAGATATTATTGTAGAAATGTTGGACAGACAAAATCGTAGGTCTAATATAATTATATATAATGTTAAGGAATCACAACAAAGAACTCGTATGGAAAGAAATAATGAAAATACTAAAGTGGTAAACGATATTCTTAGGGATGTTGATGTGAACAAGAATAATATAAAAGTATTTCGTTTGGGAAAGTACGACTCACATAAAAATCGTCCACTTAAAGTTATTTTTAGCTCTGCTGAAGATGCAATAGGTGTTCTAAAGGCTAAGAAGAATATTAAAGTTCCTGGGATTAAAATATATGGTGATCAGACGAAGGCGCAGAGAGAGTATTACATGCATATCAAGAAAAAACTAGAAGAAATGATTTCTAATGGCGATAATTCTAAAACAATAAAATACGTAAATAATAAACCAACAATTGTCACTAAAAAGGATGCAACCCATTCAAAAAACTGAATAATAATTGTAACATC